AAAAAAAAACACAGAGCCCTGGCACAGGCTGATACCATATTACAATTTTGATAAAGAAATCACCATGAAAATATCATGAAAGAAACTTTCTTGAAGAAGGAGAAGAAGAAGAATGTGAAATCAGAAATATATTGAAAAACCCTATTTAACAATGATCAACTACAAGTATATATAGTTACAGCAATACAACAGAAAACAAACTATGACTAACTAACCTCCTAACCTCCTAACTGAATTAAAAAATACAAATAGAAAACAGAATAAGAAAATAGAATAAGTTAAGTCATCATGACAAGGCCCATCATTTCCTGCTGATGTGGACACAAAAATGCCTCTCTCCATGGCAGAAAATGTGGTTATAGCAATAGGGTCATTGTACAAGGGCACATCATCAAGTCCAAGTGACAAGGAAAGAACATCCACCCCATCTGATATTGCACTATCAATAGCGGCTATTATATCAGATGACATGGTTCTATCTTCCCACAAGGCCTTGTACATGGCTACTCTCGCACGTGGAGCTATTCCTCTCGCTGATCCATTGGCATAGCCAAAGAACGATGCGTTGTCAACTTGGCTCCCAGCCACGGTGCTTGATGTGTGGGTCCCATGTCCTTGTGTGTCCCGAGTTGAGTTCTCATTTCTGGCAAGATAGGGGTATTTAGTAAGCACTCCTTTGTGAAAGAAACGAGCTCCAATGAGTTTGTTGTTGCATTTGATGCTATCTTCACATTGCCCTTTCCATCGTGAAGGGATTTTAGTCATCCCCTCATCTTTGAAGCTTTCACTTTCTGGCCAAATTCCCGTATCCACCAACCCAACAATGATATCTTCGCCAAATTTCCCAATAGGCCATGCCCCCGTGTTGGGATTAAGGTCGAGAAATTGTGGTGAATGAGTTGTGTCAAGCTTAGCTGGAAGATCTGGTATGGAAGAAATGTAACCTGTGGAGCTTTTGAGAGCTTCAAGCTCTTTGGGTGACAAATTTGCACTAAAACCGCTCATGGCGTATGTGTAGGTATAAATCAACTTAGAAGAAGCGATTTCGAGATTATTATTGTCATTGGAGGTAAGAACTTGGGCATTTTCTAATGCAGAGGAAAGTGTAGAGAGATACCAACCGTGTTGGGTGGAGAATGCTTTAGGCATGGCTAACGTGTCCATGTGGATGATATAATTATCAGATTGAGCTAACGAATATACAAGGTGAAAGATTATTATGTGGGAGAAACAAAAACAAAGATGAATCACAATAGCCATGATTGAAGGATATTGTGAATGTAGATGGATGCCTTGTTGGCTGAGACTCCAATATGTAATTCGGGTTTAGATACTGAATTATCCCAAATTTTTATTTATGAAGTACATTTATTTCAAATATTTTTCTTCCATGAGAAAAAGATAAAGAAATTATATAATATCAATTTTCCCTTTTAAATAACTTAAAAAGGATCCAGCCATCTTAAATAATGTTTGAAGTTCGATTTTTTTAAATTATAAAAAATAACACAATATTCAATTTTGACATATCAAAACAATAAATATTCTAAATTGGACAAAATTATATCCAAGTTTTTATATATTTTTTAAAAAATAATTTGTGGCCGGAAAATATTTTCCTTGTTTTGGTATCCTTGAAGTGGAATACTTAGTAAAAATTACACCGGTATAATTATAACCCCCTATATATATATGTATATATATATATACAGGGACGGATGCACGTTTGAATAGTGGGGCACTTGCCCCCACTACTATTTGACATATACATAATTTTTTATCTAAAAAATAATATATTTTAAAAAATAAAAATTATATTCTAATAAAATAAAATATAGATTCTGAAAAAAAATATTTATTTATTTGATATCTGTCAAATTTTTGAAAGAAATTAATTATCATGTGATAAAAAAATTTCTCAATAATGAATTAATTTTTAAAAAAGTTTAATTATAATATATATATTGATATATATATATATATATGTCTTAATACTCACATATATAATGTAATATATTAAAATAAATAATTTTTTGATAAAATAAAATTTGTATCATGCATGTTTATCTTTTGTGTTTTTTAT